TTTTTTTTGAAAGGAAGAAAAAGAATTAAAAAAAAAAAAAAAAGAAAGAAAAAGAATACAGGAAAGGAAGAAAGAGGAAGAGGAAGAGGGAGAGAGAACAGGGGTGTTGCTTTATTGCCCGGGCTAGAATGCAGTCTAAAACTGGGTATGCCTGTAATTGTGTTTAATAATAGAGACATAAAAAAAATGAGGGAAGAAAATAATTAACAAGCAGCCAACCAATATTTCATTTAAACCTGTAAATACGTGTGATGTAGTACTGATAAGAGTGTATATTTTGTGTATTTAAAGTGGAGAGTTCTATGAATGTTAATTAAGTCTACTTGTTCCAGATCTGAGTTCAAGTCCTGGATATCGATGTTAACATTCTGTCTCATTGATCTATCTAATATTGATGTTGAAGTCTCCCGCTATTATTGTGTGGGGGTCCAAGTCTCTTTGTAAGTCTTATATATCTGGGTATTTCTGTATTGGGTGCATATATGTTTAGGATCTTTAGCTCTTCTTGTTACATTGATCCTTTTATCTTTATGTAATATCCTTCTTTGCTTCTTTTGATCTTTATTGCTTTGAAATCTATTTTATCAGCAAAAATTGCAACTCCTGCTTTCTATTTATTTATTTTAGCTCTCCATTTGGTTGGTAAATTTTTCGCCATCCCTTTGTTTTGAGTCTTTATGTATCCTTGCATGTGAGATGGATCTGGATGTAGCATACCAATGGGTCTTGGCTTTTTTTGCCTGTCTGTGTCTTTGGATTGGGGGATTTAGTCGATTTAAATTTAAAATTAATAACAATATATGTGTGTTTGATACTGTCATTTAATGTTAGCTGGCTGTTTTGCCCGTTAGTTGATGCAATTTCTTAAATATGTTGATGTTCTTTATTTTTTGGTATTTTTTAGAAAGGCTGATACTAGTTGTTCCTTTCTATTTGTAGTGGTTCTTTCAAAAGCTCTTGTAAAGCAGGCCTGGTGGTGATGAAATCTCTGAGTGCTTGCTTGTTCACAAAAGATTTTATTTTTCCTTCGCTTATGAAGCTTAGTTTGGCTGGATGTAAAATTCTGGGTTGAAAGTTTTTTTCTTTAAGGATGTTGAATATTGGCCCCCACTCTCTTCTGGCTTGTAGGGTTTCTACTGAGAGATCTGCTGTGAGTCTGATGGGTAAACCCTTCTCTAACACCTACAAGATGAGGTATAAATTTCTCAGCCCTTCACTTTGGCCTGGCTATCAGATGCCATTATACCTTGCATGCTTCATCTCCCACTTCCACCTCCCTGTCTGACCCAACTAGCCCCAGCCCCTATACCATACGTTCTAGCCAAATTGAACGACTTAAAATTCCCTAAGCATGACAGATGGCATCTTGTCTCCATGTCCATTATGCCCTTATACCTCCTGTTTCAATGGTAAATGCTTCCAGATTTCAAGGCCTACTTCAGACCACTCCAAAAATGAAGCAGCATTTCCCCCTTCTTTTTTCTCATTGTGTTTCTTTCATAACTTTCTAAAATAATGTTTATCATAGATGCTTTTCTCTTTCCTCCAGTAGACCGTGGACTCCTCAGTATCAAGCCTGGATATTATTCACCTTTGTGTCCATAATACCTAACTTGGGACTGCAGGTGTATGCAGTTATAGCGGGATGAAAAAATGAACAAGCTTGCCTCTCTTTCATTTTCTATCTCCCTTTATTGTTGTTCTCACTATGGAGTCATTTTGCTAATCACAAGTGGCAGTTCTCACTACTCTGATACTGCATCCCTGCAAGACCTCAGATATAAATGAAAGTAAGGTACATCTCAGTGACTCCTCGAGAGTAAATGAAGGATGATCTATGGAAGCTCCTAACACAAAATCATAAGCTTATAAAAACAGCTGCCCTGCCTCACCTGCTGTCGTCAGTGCTGTTCCAGAAGCTGCTAGCAAACTCAGCTTTCTGTTAACTCAGAAGCTATTCAGCAGCCTCCCTGCTGATTTGCTTTCTGGTGGGGCTGAATAGAAAACAGCTTGTAGTCAGAAGGCCTGAATTCTGGTCTTGGCTCTGTGGTTGAAATTCATATGACTTCCTGAAAGAACTGAGTCTGTTTCCTTGTGTGCAAAACACGAAAAAATAATCCTTTCTCCTGCTCTGCTGAACTTACTGGCTACTTATGAAATTCAGAGGATATAGAGAACTTGAAATCACTTTATGAAATAGAAAATTCACCAGAGGGGTTATAATATAATATTGTTTACATCTTAACTCTGCCTGTCTGTTTTCCTCAGGAAGATCAAATTAAATACAGTGCCTGAAATATAGGCATTATTCAGCAATATCAAGTTGAGTACAATACCTGAGACATTTTATAATGCAAGTGAAAGATCAGCCTCTACCACCAGTAACCTGGAACCTTTCCTACACTGTCCCTATTCAAAGCACATTGACGAGTTCTCACCATTGGTAGCATTTATTTGTGAGGCCACATGTGCAGACTCAGTTTAGCTACATGGGACCTGGGCATTGACTACAAGGCAAATAAAAGCCATGTCTACAAATATCTGTGCACCTATCAGAGAGGTGACTAACTAACCTGCATGGACAATCCTGGTTATATCCTTTGAGCAATGGTGTGGCTCTATGTTATTAGACATACAAAAGGACATATAGTCTTACTTACTTGGAACAGAATGATAAATCTATTTTGGCTGAAGTCTTTAAAAGGCTTTTGATGTGAATAACAGGGAAAGCTGCTGTAGAGAGTGATAACAGCTAATTCCTACAGAATGGTCACTATCTACTAGGCAGAATTCTTGTGTGTGTGTGTGTGTGTGTGTGTGTGTGTGTGTGTGTGTGTGTGTATACACATTAATGCATTTTAAGTTCTGGGGTACATGTGAAGAACATGCAGGATTGTGGCTAAGAATTGTCCTGCATTCTCTTAACCCACACCAATGCTTTGAGTCAGGTTCTCTCGATAGCTGTATTTTACAGTTGAGAAAAATGAAGTCACAATGTTTGGCTGTGTAGAGCCTGACTCCACAACCTGGATGCTTAACTGTCAGTCAGGTCTGGACCTTTGTGAGGTCCACTGGCAGCTAAAATTTCTCCTAGGAGTGTTAAGAGAGATATTTAGGTATAAAGTGTCAGGTATATATTTTACTCTGCATGGTTCCTCTGTACACTGAACTTCAATAGATTGAGGTGGGAGGAAGCAGGGTTATGGATGATTATTTTTCACATTGTTTTTACAGCGGCTAATTGCCCAAACAAAAGGCTTTCTCTGCTTCTTTTCCCACTTTTACTTGAACTGGCAAGATGCAAATCTGAAACTTACATGTACCAGCCTCCTCTAATGCTGTGTGTGACTATGTGATAACAGCTAATTCACATTATGTGACCATGTTTTAAGCAATAAGATAAAAATGGAAGCATTACCATAGAATAATCTTATGGTATTGAAATAGGAGAGTTCCCTGATTTCCTCTCACAGGACATGCAATGGGGGTGTGGCTCTCCTGTTTGGGTTATCCCACAGCTCAAACACTTAGGATGCAGAGGGCAAGTGCAGAGGCTGGGATAAATGCTTTGGGCACTTGGCCCTGCTGTAGTGTCTAGGGGTGGGTGCTGCAATCCTAGTGTTACAAAACTCTTTCAGCTTTGCCATCTTCAGACGGCTTGAGTGTTAATCAGCTCAGTGGACCCTCTGCCTTATTGTAAGGGCAAAGGGCCAGTATGGCAGGCTTCTGTGTCCTGAGCTCTTGCCCGGTGTCCCAGAAGAATCCGATCACACACAGGCTCAAAGGACGAGTGTAATGTTTTATTGAGCAGTGGAGGTGACTCTCAGTGAGTTGGATGGGGAGCTGGCAGTGGGGATGCAGTGGGAAGGTGATCTTCCCCTGGAATCAGGACACCCAGCAGCTGGACTCTTCTCCAACTGCCCCCAGCTAAACTCCCCTTGGTGTCCTCTTCTCTCTTTCTCTGCCACGTCGTTCTGCCATTGCTGTTCTGCTGATCTGTTGGTCTGCTCTGGAGCATAGGGTTTGGGGTTTGTATGGGGGCAGGATAAGGGGTGTGGCAGGCCAAAAGGCAACTTTTTGGGCATGAACACAGAAATATCTGTTCTCATTTACGGCTGAAGGTATTCAGGCTTGAGGGTGGGGACTTTGCCAGGAATCTGCCCTCTTCTACCCAGTATTTCCCTGTCTCCTGTCTGTATCAGTATTTACAGAAAAGGGAGTTAACACAGCTGGAAGGCACATTCTTCTTTCTTGCTGCTTATTTATTTCTGTTACATGACACACAAACTTGAAGACAGAGCTCTGGTAGTTATATTGGACCATGAAGTGACCTTGAGAATGGAAGCCATATGCAGAGAGACAGAAGGAGCCTGAGTTCCTAATTATTTTTTTGGAGCATTCATGTAAGCACTGCTACCTACTTTACCTTATTTTATGCTAGAAGAATAAATCCTGAGAGTTTAAGTAAATGCTATTTTGGTTTTCCTCTTATAGGCAACTACAACTAATCCTAATTGATATGAAGATTACCTGGCTTTGCCTCTGTTTCATAGACATTTCACTGTGGATTAGCATTTCAACTACAGGGAAGCTGCAAAATTAATCCTATTCACTTTGCTTACTTTTTAGTAAAACTGAGAAGAAAAATTTTAGTCAGAAAAAAGGCTGAATTTATTGATTAAAATAAAATCTGGAGGTTCATTTCTTTTTCTAGACCAAATTAAAATAACCAGTCAAGAGCTAATTGGATTTGAATCCTACAAAGAGAAAGACGGACAGCCCTTTTCATCTTCAGTACTCACATGGTAGTGTTGTAGAAAAGATACGGCTTCTTGACACACGACCAGGATAATTCAGGCATGTGGACACATTGTAGAGTGGGCAGGGCAGCGTTTATTGGGTGAAAACAAGAAGGGAAACAGGAACCCTAAGCAAAGTGAGATAGAGTCTTACTAGTAGGATTGTCATCTCACAGATTGAATCCCAGGTTGCCACACAGGAACAGGAGAGGCCAAGCTCCTCTCCCCTGCAAACAACGCAAACTTCCTGAGGCTCCATTCCATCCTCCCAGGGCGCCCTCCCAGTGCAAAGGAGTATGAGAAGCTCCAAGGACCTGTTTCCCAATAAAACTTGCAAAAATATTTTTTTTAAAAAAAGACAAACTTTTGGAGCCTCTCTGGAAACGTTCATAAGGGTAAATAGCAAATGAAGTAACGTCTATGAACATTTCGTGAGAAAGATCAGAGTGTGTGGTAGCTGAACAAAAACCACTCTTTTCCTTTCCCCTCCAAGCTAAGCCAGGTGGATATTTCTGCAACCGAGAATACAGGGCCCCCTCTTCCTTTGGCTCCCAGTTAGAGAGCTTCTTCCAGGGAGAAGCAGGAATTTATTGTTCAACCTTCAACTGCCTGTTGCTGAGCTTAAATCCCAAGTCGGTGTGATCAAGTAGGAGCTCTATTTCTCCACCCAATTTCCACTCATGGATCTGAGACTCTACCTTGAGTGTGGTATGCTCAGAATACTGCATCCCTGAAAACCCTCTGCTAGTGAGATGCTGGTTTCACACTAAGAGTGACAAGCCTAGGGGACCCCAGAGTATTGGGTATCTTCCCCTTTCACTTAGCTCTCAGCTTCCTAGAGTGAAGCGTCACTCAGAGAAGAGCTTGCCATTGTCCCCACCTCCACTTCCAGAGCCCTGGCTCAGAGGTTTTACCTGGGAGAAGCTGGCCATATAACAGATCACAACCTAATCTCTTCCCCAAAACTGACTTTTTAGGCAATTATATGTGGTGAAGTTTAAACCTAAGGCCACTCTGCAGTTAATAGAGGTTGGAGTAACATAAAGTTGGGAGGAGATCCATGGATCTAGTGAAGATACAGCGTAGACTGTAAGCCAGCTACTTTGCAGGAGAGAGCCAGGGAATAGGGCAGCTGGGAGGAACCCTTCCAGGGTTAGGACAAATATCAGACTTTTACCTCAGAAACTGTTATGTCAAGGGAACTGAAATTTGATTAGACTGGTTTGAAGAAAATTTTATCCTCAGGCCATTGTTGAAAACAATAGAACTCTCACTGGACAGGTAACAGCTGGGAAGGTCAGTAGAGCTGAACAGCTGGATATGGTCAGGAAAAGAGTAGGTGAGTCCTGTAAGTGCCACTGTTATCTGAGGGTAACTGAACACAGACCAAGTTCCATCTCCCTGAGTACAAATATCAGAGGCTGAACACTATGGAGCTGACAGGCTAGATTTAACTAAACCTAGTGAGTCACTCAACAGATAAACAAATAAATAATAATTATAAGCCCCAGAGGCCTGGCAGTGCCCAGAACTGCTACAATATATTATCTAAAGTGTCCAGTTTCTAATAAAAAATTACAAGGCATGAAAAGAAACAAAAAACTATGACACACCTAAATAAAAGAAGACAAGAGAAACTGCCTTTCAGAGTGACCAGATGTTCTAACTGCCCAAGGGGTTCACCTTGCCTGCTGCCTAGACAGAGCTGACTCATCAAGACAGGGGAATCCCAATAGACAAAGAATAATTCACTCAGAGCCGGCTGTGTGGGAGACCAGATTTTATTATTACTCAAATCAGTCTCCCTGAAAACTCAAGGATTAGAGTTTTTAAGGATGATTTTGTGGGTAGGGGGCCAGTGAATCGGGAGTGCTGACTGGTTGGCTCGGGGATGAAATCACAGGGAGTCGAAGCTGTTCTCTTCTGCTGAGTCAGCTCCTGGGTGGGGGCCATAGAACTGGTTGGTTGTTACGTAGCCGGTTGTTAGAAATGCAAAAACCTGCCGGGCGCGGTGGCTCAAGCCTGTAATCCCAGCACTTTGGGAGGCCGAGGCGGGTGGGTCACGAGGTCAAGAGATCGAGACCATCCTGGTCAACACGGTGAAACCCCATCTCTACTAAAAATACAAAAAATTAGCTAGGCATGGTGGCGTGTGCCTGTAATCCCAGCTACTCAGGAGGTTGAGGCAGGAGAATTGCCTGAACCCAGGAGGCGGAGGTTGCGGTGAGCCGAGATCGCGCCATTGCACTCCAGCCTGGGTAAGACGAGTGAAACTCAGTCTCAAAAAAAAAAGAAAAGAAATGCAAAAACCTGAAAAGACGTCTCCAAAGGCCGATCTTAGGTTCACAGTAGTGAAGTTACCTTGAAGAGTAACTGAGGAAGTTGCAAATCTTATGACCTCCAGAATTATGGCTGGAATCTTTAGAATTCCAGCTCCTCTCATCTTGACTTGGTGGCTACTGGGCTTTCATTTGTTTTGCAAGAACAGTTTAGCCTTTTGGGAAGCGCTGCTATATAAACTATA